TTTACTAGAGAAAATCTTTTCCTGTGTGTCTTGGCTGAAGTTGTTACTTTAATGATTCACCCTTCCCTTTGCTTGCATTGTTTCCCATTAACTTGTAGTCATGGTAGTGCCACTGTGTTCCTACTAAAGAAAGATCTTTCTGGATACAACGAAAAGAAAAACCTTCTGACAGTAGCACACATAAAAACTGGTGTGTGTGTGTGTGTGTGTGTGTGTGTGTGTGTGTGTGTATGTGTGTTTATTGTAAATGTATAACAGGAAACCATATAAACATCCAAGTTTTTTAATTTGAAATTCATAAAATTTAGGAATTTTGTTTTTTGTTTTTTATTTTTTGTTTGTAGCTCCTGTCTGGCCTGAAATTCACTCTGTGTATCAGGCTGGCTTAGAATCAGAAATCCACCTGCCTCTGCTTCCCAAGTGCTGGGATCAAAGGTGTGCACCACTGTGCCTAGCTAGGATAGGAAGTTTTAACTTAAAATTTTCTTTTGAGACAAGACCTTATCATTTAGCCCTGGCTGGTCCTATGTGGACCAGGCTGGCCTCTAACTCAAATCCAGTTGCCTTTACCTCCAGAGTGTTAGGATTAAAAGCAACTGGCCAACTGTTAAGATTTTTACTGAGCATTCATAGTATCTGGAACAAAGCCTGGGATATTATATGGTGTTCACTAAATCTTGATTAAATGAATGAAAAGTAATAGACCTATCATTCAGAGAAATGCTCTTTTGATATTTATCTTCTCAGCAAATGTCCTTTTGATTTTTACCTTCATAGCAAATAATACGATTTTTTTCTTTATTCACAAAGCTCCATTTATAGACCAAGAGAAAAGGCATGTAGTTTTGGTTCTCCCTCTTTCTGTCTCTGTTTCTCTCCTCAAGGTCCTAAAGCACATGTTATAGTTCTTCTATGCCTGTTTTTGAGGATTTGGTTAATGATGCTGAAAAAAAAAATATCATTAAAGACATGTTGTGGGAACATGAGCTCAGGAACCCACTGATGCTTTAAAGTTGTTAGTCAGCCGGGCGTTGGTGGCGCACGCCTTTAATCCCAGCACTCGGGAGGCAGAGCTAGGCGGATCTCTGTGAGTTCGAGGCCAGCCTGGGCTACCAAGTGAGCTCCAGGAAAGGCGCAAAGCTACACAGAGAAACCCTGTCTCGAAAAACCAAAAAAAAAAAAAAAATAAATAAAGTTGTTAGTAAGCAATGCTAAGCTTTTTACTCTTATTTAAGTCATTTTTTTTAATGTGTGGGTGTTTTGCCTGCATGTATGTCTGTGTACCATGTGCATATAGTGTTGGTGGAGGCCAGGAGAGGGCTTCAGATCCCCTGTGATTGGAGTTAACAAAGGATTATAAGCCTCCATGTGGGTGCTAGAAATCCAGCCTGGGTCCTCTGGAAGAGTAGCCGATGCTCTTAACTGCTGAGCTGTTTCTCCAGTCCAATGCTGGGCTTTTAAAGAACAGTTTTTTTTTGTTTGTTTTTTGTTTTTTCCAGACAGGGTCTCTGCATAGCCCTGGCTGTCCTGGAACTCACGCTGTAGACCATGCTGGCTTCAAACTCACAGAGATCCACCTGCCTCTGTGTGGTTGATATATTGTGTATCCTAATAAACTTATCTGAAGGTCAGGGAACAGAACAGATTAGACATAGAGGCCAAAAAATGGTGGCACACACACCTTTAATCCTAGCATTCTGGAGACAGAGATCTTCTCTGTGAGTTCAAGGCCACACTGGAAACAGAGCCAGGCATGGTGGCACACATCTTTAATCCCAGGACTTGAGATATCATGTGTTGCTTGGTAAAGACACATGCCTCTGCCTCCAGGGTTTGGGATTAAAGGCATATGCCATCACTGCCCAGTGTCAGCTCATTGTTAATAGCTAGCATCTTCAGGTACATGGCTAGCTTCTTTGTATGGAATTTTTTTTTTAGTCCCTCGACGTGATCCTTTTCTGTAGCCCAGTATGATTCAAAGAAACACTCACAGAGGAATACTTTGCCTCAGACCTCAGTAACTGTGGACTTTGACCAAACCCCAAACTCATTTTTCAGTGCATCAGCAAAACCCACTAGCTCCTTGGCTCCACGAAGGCACAGAGGTTTTGTCCATTCTGTTCACCAGGTTTATTTTTTAATACATACGAGAACAGTGACAATGCATGATAAAGTTATATGAGTACTGACTGAATGAACCCCTCAGTGGGAGCCAGGCGCCGGTTCACTGTGGCCTCTGACTCTATGGTTATATTAGCAAAATTACACTAAATCCTTGAAGTTTCTTTCCCTAGGAATAGCCAAGGAGAACGCTGTTTACTCACGATGCACCAAAAATTGCTCAAAAAATCTTCTAAACTCAGAAATTTCCCCCTAACTTAGAAGTGAGTAGATAGTCAAGAGTTGCAAAAGGTACCCCCCACCGTCCCACCCCCCTTTTACTGAGGATTTCTACTTTTGGTGGTTTTCCATTTTATGGTGGAATAGCTGGCGTGTTACTTACTTGGAGACTCAGCCAAAATCAAGACAGAGTCCCATTTTACCACTCACATAATACTTACCTTCACTTACTTGTTTACATATTGTCTCTCTCTATTAAGCCTTAAGCCCCTGAAAGTCAAGAACTATGCCATGTTTCCCACTGCACATATACCAAATCTGTCCCACAAGCTCAGTGCTCAATGAGATGTAGTTAGAAGAGTCAGCAGTAACTGGCGAGATGGCTCAGCAGGTGAAGGTCCTTAGGACCTACATGGTGGCTAGAGAGAACTGGCTCCTGCACAGTCTTGAACTTCCACATGCATGTGTGTGTGCACACGCACACAAAACAAATAAAGGGGGACAGCCAGCCAGACGTAGCTGATATCCCCAGACAGGTGCCATGGCCCCTTTTTGCTCCCCACGGCCCTAACACTAAATAGGAGGATTTAACTGATGACGTCTCTTGATCTTTAGCCAAGAACTGAAAAGTTGATCAACAAAGACATTGTAGGACAACCAAACCAGCAGAGTGCTGTTTCTTTAAAGCCATTAGTAAGCAATGCCAGACTCTTTTAGAACCAGGTAAGAGTAATTTCTAGGCCTGAAGAGATGGCTCGGCAGTTAAGGTACTTGCTGCTCTTGCAGAGGACCTGGGTTCAGCTCCTAGTACCCAACAGCCTACAACTCCAGTTTCTAGGAATCAAATGCCCTCTTCTGGCCTCCACAGGCATCTCAACCAATAACTATAACTCTGGGTCCATATACAGTGTTATTTTACATTTTCACCAGGGGGCAGGAGGCATATGATTCTCTTTCTCGTGTGAAAAAATATTCTGTTAAAGTGAAGTTTTATGTTATACTTAGAAATGTATTTCACATTTCAAGTTTGTGGTGTCAGACCTCCAGGTGCGGGTATGAAATAAATGGTGGGCATATGTGTGGAGGTCTAGACGAGTGTATTAGTTAACTGTTCTTGTTCCTGAAACAGAATCCCTGACAAATGTGACTTGAGGTAGGATGAGTTTGTTTTGGCTCACAGTTTGAGGCTGCAGTCCATCATGGTGGGGAAGGCATGGTGGCAGAAGATTCAGGCAGATGGTTGGTCACAGGGCATCCATAGCCAAGAAGCAAAGAAGATGGGTACTTGTGCTCACCTTACTTTCTCCTTTCAATGCAGTCAGGATCCCAGCCCCTGGGATGGTACTGTGCACTTTTAGAGTAGGCTTTCCGACCTTAGTTAACCTAATCTAGATAATCCCTCACAGGCATGACCAGGAGCCTATTTCCTAGAGGATTTTTTTAAAGATTTATTTATTTGTTTATTTGTTTTGCCTGTATATATTCTGTGTGAGGGTGTTGAATACTCTGGCACTGGAGTTTTGCCTGTATATATTCTGTATGAGGGTGTTGAATACCCTGGAAATGGAGTTACAGACAGCTGTGAGCTGCCATTTGGGTGCTGGGAATTGAACCTGGGTCCTCTGGAAGAGCAGCAGTACTCTTAACCGATCTCTCCAGCCCTTTCCTAGAGGATTCTTGATCCAGTCAAGTTGACAATATTAACCATCACAGTTGGGAACCCAAAAGTAAGGAGTCATTTTCATGGACTGGAGTGAGAATATGCCTGGGCACCCCGTAATTATGGTAGAATATGGAAAGTGTAAGTTCTTTGGGTTTGGTTTGGTTTGGTTTTGTTCCAAGACAGGGTTTCTCTGTGTAGACTTGGCTGTCCTGGAACTCATTCTACAGGCTGGCCTCAAACTCAGAGATCTGTCTGCCTCTGCCTCCTGAGTGCTGGGATCAAAAGTGTGCACCACCACTACCCAGATAAAAGATCTTAGTTTGAATTTAACTATTTATAAGCTTTGAGGTCTTTTATAACTTATTTGACCTCTCTGAGCCTTCATTTTGTTGTTGAAACCCATTAAATGAAGACGGTCTGTAGAGATTGAAGTTCACTGGTGGAATGTGTGCCTAGCATGATCAAGTCTGAAAGTTTGATCTCCAACATTGCCCTTAAAGTCAACTCCAGATAGTTCAAAGACAATGCAAACCCTCAAACTCCAAAATGGTTAGAGGAAAGGCAAGGAAAACACCTTAAGACACAGTCTTAGGCAAGGACTCAGTTTCTCAGAAAATAGTCCTAGCACTTGACAAATGGGATCTCACAAAATTAAAAGGTTTCTGCACAGGAAGAAAACGATTAAATGAAGGGACAACCTAAAGAATGGGAGAAAATCTTTGCCAGCTATGCATCTGACAGGATTAACATCTAAACATATGAAGAAGTCAAAAGTAATAAGAAATAAAACAACAAATAAGTGAGCTAATAAGTTGAACAGACACCTCAAAAGGTGGAACACACATGACTAATAAACACAAGAAATAAATATTCAGTTTTACTTTTATCAGAGAAATGCAAATTAAAATCACAGTCAGATTTCTCTCACCTGAATTGGGATGGCAGTCATTAAGAGTATAAGTAATGGGAGTGGAAGTGTCCTTTCCTTTCTGCTGGGTACTGGCTCCTTGCTGTTGAAATGGGCAAGTTCATGAAACCTGGGAAAGTGATACTGGTCCTGGCTGGATGCTACTCTGGACATAAAGCCATCATCATGAAGAACATTGATGATGGCACCTCAGACCGCCCTTACAGCTATGCCCTGGTGGCTGGAATTGACCTCTATCTCCGAAAAGTGACAGCTGCCATGGGCAAGAAGAAAATTGCCAAGAGGTCAAAGATCAAGTCCTTTCTGAAAGTTTATAGCTACAATCACCTCATGCCCACAAGGTACTCTGTGGACATCCCCTTGGACAAAACTGTTGTCAACAAGGATGTCTTTAGAGACCCAGCCCTGAAACACAAGGCCAGGTGGGAGGCCAAGGTCAAGTTTGAGGAAAGATACAAGACAGGGAACGGCCGGGCGGTGGTGGCACATGCCTTTAATCCCAGCACTCAGGAGGCAGAGGCAGGCGGATCTCTGTGAGTTCCAGGCCAGCCTGGTCTCCAAAGCGGGTACCAGGAAAGGTGCAAAGCAACACAGAGAAACCTTGTCTCAAAAAACCAAAAAAAAAAAAAAAAAAAAGACAGGGAAGAACAAATGGTTTCGCCAGAAGCTTCGCTTTTAGGTATATTTTTGTTCCAATCATTTAAAAAAAAAAAGGAATGTAAGTAATGGGCTGGGCAGTGGTGGCGCATGCCTTTAATCCCAACACTCAGGAGGCAGAGGCAGGAGGATCTCTTATGAGTTCGAGGCCAGCCTGGTCTACAGAGCAAGATCCAGGACAGGCACCAAAACAACACAGAGAAACCCTGTCTTGAAAAAAAAACAAAAAACAAAAAACAAACAAACAAAAAGAAGGAGAAGGAGGAGGAGAAGAAGAAGAAAGAAGAATATAAGTAATAATGGCTGGGCGTGGTGGTACATGCCTAGCACTCAGGAGGCAGAGGCAGGTGGATCTCTGTGAGTTCCTTGCTATGCCATGTCTGCATAGCAAGTTCCAGGACAGCGGAGCTACATAATAGAGAGAACCTGTCTCAAAAACCCAAAGTAAATGAATATAAATTTTAAAAAAGTAACAAGTACTGGCAAGGATATGAACAAAAGAGAATCCTTCTATGTGACTGGGGGGATTTCAGTTCAGTCAATATGGAAATCAGAATGCTGGTTATTTTTTGAATTATTCATTTTACTTGTTTATTTTTGAGACATGCTTTCATTAGGTATCTCATCCTGGAACTCACTATGTAGACCAGGCTAGCCTGGAACTCACAGGTATCTGTCTCTGCCTCCAAAATGCTGGGATCAGAGGCTTTCACCACCATGCCCAGCAGAATGGTGGTTCTTAAAAAAAAAAACTAAAAATTGATCTATCATATGGCCCTGCTTGACCATTCTTAGGTATTTACTCAAAGTATTCAAGTTGACATATAGAGACACTTGTATATCAATGTGTACTGTAGCTCTATGCACAGTGCTTAAATTGTGGAAACAACCTAGGTATAGGAATGTCTAATAGTATAGGAGTGGTAAAATGTGGCATATACATGCAATGGAACTTTTGCAGCCTTAAAGAAGAATTGAAGTTATTCATTTACAGGAAAATGGGTGCAACTGGAGATAACCACATCATGCAAATTAGGTTAGGTAAGTATCAGAAAGATAGATATTGTGTATTTTCTCTCATTTGTGGTTCCTCTATTTTATGCAGATAAAATCATATGTATCTATGATATGCAAGGAGAAGTAAAATTGTCTAGGGGGAAATGGTACTAAAAGGAGGGGGCTGAAAAGTTAGGTATTGGAATGGGGGAGTATGCTCCAAATATATTATATACTTGTGTATATCCTTTTGTATGTTAGCTCCTTTTCCATTGCTCTGATAGAATGCCATGGTCAGAAGCAACCCCCAGCAGAGTTTATTTGGACTTACAGTCCAGAGAATCTATAATGGCCAGATTACGAAGCTGAGAGAGTACATCTTCTCAACCACATGCAAAAACCAGAGAGTGAAGTTGCTATAAAGGTCATCTCCTCCAACAAGGCTCTGCTCCTAAAAGCTCCATAACCTCCCCTCAAAAATACCACCAACTAGGAAACAAGTGTTTGGATATGTGAGTTTGCTGGGGACATTCTTCATTCAAACTACCACAGTAACCTATTAGCATGAATAGTGAACATACACCAATGGACAAAATCCAGATAGATTGACAGCACTTCTTAGGATCATTGTGACAGTTAGGGGAATTTCTGATGTAAAGTGCTTAGGTTACAACTCGGCATGTGATAAGTAGTCCCTGAGTGCTAGCTGTCATCATCATTGCTTTGAGAATCCAGCTATCTTCTGAAAGCTGCTGTTGCTGCAGTGATCACTCCTACTGGGACCATCACAGCAGGTGTAATGCTTACTGTTTAGCTAACTCAAGAGCAGCAAACTGGAAGTGTACAGTGAGCTGCCCCCCTCCACTCCCGTTTCTCAAGTAACCCTTTTAGCAGAAAACCTAGCTTTAGAAGTCTTTCTAAATTTTTTTTTCCAAGACAGTGTGTTTTAGTTAGAGTTTGATTGCTGAGACAACATGACTACAGCAATTCTTACAAAGGAAAATATTTAACTAGGGCTGGCTTACAGTTCAGAGGTTTCGTCCATTAGCATCATGGCAAGAAGTATGGCAGTGTGCAGGCAGACATGGTGCTGGAGAAGGAGCTGAGAGCTCTACATCTTGATCCGCAGGCCCAGAAGACTGTGACACAAGGCCTAGCTTGAGCATATAAGACCTCAAAGCCCACCTCCACAGTGATACACTTCCTCCAACAAGGCCACACCTACTCCAAGGCCACACCTCCTAATAGTGCCACTCCCTGTGGGCTAAGCATTCAAACACTTGAGTGTATGGGGGCCGTTCCTATTCAAGCCACCACACATGGTCTTAGTGTGTATCTCTGGCTGGTCTGACTGGGGCTTGCTATGTAGACCAGGCTGGCCTTGAACTCAGAGATCCACCTGCTTCTGTCTTTTGAGTGCTGGGATTAAAGGCATATGTCACCATGCCTAGCCCTAAATATTTATTTTAACTTATTCTTTTTTGCCAGTTTTACCCATTTTGTTTGGTTACCAAGGTTGGTGAAGCACAGCAATATAGTACCTGTTAGTTATTTAGCTGCGTTGTGTTCTTACCCTGCAAGGAAGTGTCACGAAACACGACAGAATCCGCTTATAAGAGTTTTATTAGAGATAAAGGGATAGAGAGTGCGCAGGCCTGTGGGAGAGACACGTGCGTGGAGAAGAGAGAGGAGAGAACAGGGAACATGGTGCTCTGCTTTAAAACCGGCTGGGGGCGTGGCCAGGTCACGTCACTACTCCACGCATGTGCGTAGATCACATGGTCACGTTGCGCCATGTAGACGCCTTGACCCAGAAATAGCTATCTTGACCTGGAACTTGCTAGGCGGAGGTGTCCAGGTCTGCCGGGTATCCTGGTTACGAGAGACGCCCTGACCCGGAAATGCCTATCCTGACTGGAATTGGCTTGGCGGAAGTGTCCGCCTGGTATATGCGACCGTGGGGGCGTGTTGTGAACCTTTCAGTACCCCTTGAAAGACTTTGACATGCAGGGTGCCTGACAAAAGAAAAAAAACAGTTAGTAGGGTTTGAAGTACAGACACCTGGGGCTGGGAGGTGGCTCGGGTGGATGCAGTGGTGCCCACATTAGGTGAAATGGGAGACAGAGACAGGAGACTACTCCAGGTCCAGCTAGCTTGGTGTCTGCAGCAGTGAACAACAAAAAACCTAGACTCAAGCAAGGTGGAATGTGAGGACCCACACCTCACCTGAGGTTGTTCTCTGACCTCCACAGGTATGCCATGGTACACATGTGTACCTGAACTCACATACATATGCCACGCATGCACACAAATGCAGAAATATAAACTGAGATTGTTTTTCTTTTTTTTTTTAAAGATTTATTTATTATGTATACAGTGTTCTGTCTGCATGTATCCCCGCAGGCCAGAAGAGGGCACCAGATCTCATTACAGATGGTTGTGAGCCACCATGTGGTTGCTGGGAATTGAACTCAGGACCTTTGGAAGAGCAAGCAGTGATCTTAACCTCTGAGCCATCTCTCCAGCCCTTTTTTTTTTTTTTTTTTAAAGATAAGGTCTTTCTATGTAGCCTTGGCTGTCCTGGAACTTAGTAGCCTCGAACTCACAGAGATCTGCCTACCTCTGCCTTAAACTGAGATTTATAAAGAAAGACACCTTTCTTTAATGTATTTGAATAATAGTTTCATGTAGAAATTATTTTATCCCTTATAAGTGCTTTCTATTTTTTCTAAATAAACTTTAGCTTACTGTCCTAGCAGAATAAAATACATTCTGCTCTAGTTTTTAAAAATAGGAATGTATTCTGAGGTTATTTGGAAAAGTGCTTTCTGTACTAAAAACAAGTATTTCTTTCCCTATGGGCCACAGCCAGTGTCTGTTTGTCGGGGATGGCTCCAGGCTTCCCTTTCCTTTGGCCTGTTGCTGAGGTGGCTAAGGTAACAGGAGAAAGGACATTTCATGATGGAAATAATATTTTTATAAATAATTCAAACATATTCATCTGCTCTGTTCTATTTTTTTCCTCAAGGAGAGAGAAAAAGTCAATTCTGAAGTAGGCTAATGATGTCTCAGGTATTGTTCACAATAAAAGCAATGAGCCCTTTGGAAATATTTTCTAGAACTTCAGTCCTGAGCTAAGTGTGAAATTCCCTTCTCTGCTGTTAGGTGGCAATTAATGCCTTGGAAAAGGGGGATGGGGAACTCATTAAAAAATTAAAAATTCTTCCTTCACTCCATCCACTGTGCTTTGAAAGACAAGTGTATTTTCTTTGGTAGGGTTGGATTTCTCTGAAGGATACTCTGCTTCATCTTGTCCAGCTGAATTTGCATTCACTTCTCCCTTTCATTGTTAAGAATCACACATGCAAATCAAACAGCACTCTAGCCAGTGGAGAACAGATGGTATCTTGAAGGAGGTGGCTTCTACAGTGTGCTGGAAAGTGATAGAGAGAGGGAAATAATTGCTACAATTTCCCTCTAGGCTATTTTTCTTTTATTGTGTATTTTTCAATTTACTAGGGAAAAAAATCCCTACAAAAAGAATTTCAGTTGACCCATACTAACATTATGCCTAATGTAATTAATTATAAATGTAAGTAAGAATTACTTTTCTAGTGGCCTATAGGAAAAATAAATCTTTAGAAGACCAGCAAAGGGTGCACTATAGAAAATAAAAAGCAACTTTTCCTCCCAACTAATCTATCCAGATTCCCAGGAAAATTATTGAGACTCATTAAGAGTCTCTATATACCTTTAAATTTAGAAGATCTGCTCTCTTTCATATATATGGATATATCTATGAACACACACACACACACACACACACACACACACACACACACACACACACACACAGCGGGAATCAAACCCAGGGCTTTGTGTATGATGGCTAAGATGTCTTCTTTTGAGCCCAAGTCCCATTTCTCTAAGTATGTTTACTCGTGTATACATTGTCCCAGTGAACTTTTTGCCAAAAAAAAATATGTGTAGTAGTTGCTTGCTTTACATAAAATTCAAAATATCAAATCCCTGTCACAAGAAGAATATAGTTTGCATCTCAAACCTAAGACTCTCCAGGCCAGACTCAGTGAAGCCTAACACTGAAAAGAAAAGTTGCTGCTGGCACTCTGGGTCTTTCCAGCATCCAGATGGCCTGTCTGTAGCCTCGCCAGAACCAAACCCTTCCTGCTGCCTGTTCAGCTGGCCTTGGATGCCAGCCCCAGACTACACCAGCTTCCATACCTATTAACTCTTGATTGCCCAAGACTTTTAAGAAGGGGTAGGACTTCTAATGTGACTTTGGTTGAAAAGGTAAATCAAGTTTTAGTTTAGAAGCTGAGTTTATGTAATATCGATCCCTGTGACTTCCCTGCTCCATGACAGGCTTCCTCTCACAGCAGCTCAGGCAACTGTTGGCATGAGAGAAGCAGCATTCTGGAAGGGAGTGTGTGTGGGCAGCTTGCAGGTGAGGACAGGACTGCCAAGGCAGACCATGCGGTTTGTCCGGTGCCGACACCCAGTACCTGACTTGGGCCTTTCCAGAGCATTTGTATACACAGGGCTGTTCTGCTGTTTGGGGTGTGGTTAGTTTCAAAAAGCATTAAAAAAAAAAAAAAAAAAAAAAAAAAACTCATTGGCAAGACTTTCATGCAGCAAACAAGAATGCGTAATGGCAGATATAAAATGACCGTACATGGATTTAAGGGGGGACTTCTCTAAAGCAGTTGAGCCAGGAAAACAAACCTGCCCTGTGTTTTTAAAGCACCCTTGGAAATCTTACTAGAGGCAGCCATTGTTTTCGTTTGAATTTCACCAGGAGGTAATACACAGCAGCAAACTTGCCATGAAGGTAGAGATTCTCTGTGGCTTTACTCCTCTTCATCTAGAGGTGTTAGTAGTTCTCCTGCCAGGGTGCTTCTCAACTGGCCGGAAAAGGTATTTCCAGTTGAAGCTGTGACTCCATGTCACATTCATCCTTATACTTCTGTGCTCACTGTTATTTAAATTTTATTATTATTACTATTATTGTTGTTGTTGCTGTTGTCAAGAGAATCAGCGTGGCACAGTTGATTAGAGACCTGAGATAGCCAGGTCACTACAAAGTCCTGGTTTGGGGCTGAAGATGTAGCTCAGAGCCTCAGGGTCCATCCCCAGCACACAGAAGGTGGTGTGGTGGCGCTCATGGAGTCCCTGCACTCGATGGGTGGAAGAGAGAGGGTCAAAAATTGAAGGTCATCCTCAGCTACATAGCAACTTCAAGGCCAGCCTGGAATACATGAGGCCCTCTCTCAAACAATAAACAAATAAACAGCCTGACGGTGGTGGCACACTTTAATCCCAGCACTTGGGAGGCAGAGGCAGATGGTTCTCTGTGAGTTTGAGGCCAGTCTGGTCTACAGAGTGAGTTCCAAGACAGCCAATG